AGCTGCGAGAGGAAAGGGTGGGGGTACAAAACGCTAAGCAGGAATTGTTAGATTTTCTTAAGGGCCCTGAGAGGGAAATTCAATATATATATATATATATATATATAATTCCCCCCCCCCCACTAAATCTGTAAGGTTCCATCTTTCAGGCTGGTTCATAGTTATGGATGGAAAGTACTGAATTGGAGTGACCTTACTTACATTACAATGCAGGTTAAAATGCTAGATTTGAAATAAGATCACTATCCCTGCTCAGTGATTTACAAAACTGGAGTGACATTATAACCCAAACAGAATAAAAAGCATTCCAATCGGGTTCCCGGTTCTCCTAACATCTTCGTAAATTCAAATGCTTAAACATCACCTATGAGAACCATAAAAAGACATTTGGAAGTCTTTTTCTTAACACGTTGGGAACACAGAGTCAATACGAACCATAAAGGACTATTTTTTTTTAAAGGACTATTTTTAAAACATGATTTATTCACCACATTATAAACTCGGCAGCACGTGAAACCGAGGAGTTCCATGCAAACACCAAGGGTACATACACACACACCAAGACCCCCCTCTTTTTTCTCTTTAAATGAGGTTACTTTCCGTCTCCCAAGGCTCCCAGGGCTGGAGGGTGGGGAGGATGGGAGGTGAGTGGGGACCAGGGCTCTCCAGGACCATCTGTGGGAACCCGCGGGGAAGGAGCACGGCCAGGCTGGGGGCTGCCCTGGGCAGGGGTCACGGTCAGCTGGCGTGCGGGCACCCCCGCTGGGGACTTCCGGGGTGCATTTTTGTGCAACACAGACACACACAGACACACAGACACACACACACACACACACACACACACACACACACACACACACACGATGTCCGCCTCCGTGAGGCACGATGGAAGTGCTCGAGTTCTGTGTAAATTTAATTATTAGCATGAACTGAAGGTACTGTCATTGTTTAACTCAGCCGACCTTTTAAATGGATAACCAACCTTGAGGCTTAATTGGATTTAAAAAAAAATCAATTTCTAGCCATTGCATAGTGTGGAAATGAAGTGCTACATTCTCAGGCAATTGTAAAATCAGTTTTGCTCCAACCTATTTTTTATTATTTACAACTTTAAAATGACATTCTCCATCTTGGGAAGCGCTCTGGGTATACATATATATACATATATACCTTCCATAAGCAGCCACCCATATACATGTCCGCGTGCCGCGTCATGTCACCGAAGAGTCATTGCTTTCTGTCCGGTGGCGGGATTAGTCAGCACCAATCTCTTCACACCAATTACACGAAAAACTGAACTAGGGATAATGACATGCCGCTGTTTGCAAATCTCTCCCGGCCTCAGTCTGGTCTCATCTTCGTAATAAGGAAAAAATCCTTGAGGAGCCTTTACCACATCCCATCTTGACCATTAAATCTTTCTGGAAGAAGGTCATTTAATTTTATGGAAAGAAATGAACAATTAAAATGGCATAAGCAGCAATAGTACTGGTCTGGAAATTAGGAAGTTGAAGAGTCTAGCTCTAGCCCCGGGTTATACTGGTTGTGTGACCCCAGTGAGCCCTCCAGAGGGTCTCCGTTTCCCCGTCTGGGAAAGGGGGGGGGGGGGGGGGATGGTCTCTCTGCCCAAGCAGCGATGGAAATGGAGGTCTGTTAGGGGGTCCCGAGTCAGTGATTCCCCTCAGCACTTCCTCCCAGAGACACCAAATGATGCAAACCAGAGCCCCTTTTGCCTCCACACATCTATAAAACGGGAGAAATAGTGATTACTAACGGCAGAATTGGGATGATTAGCTAAAAGCAATTTTAGAATAATAGTTGACAAACAGAAAACACTAAACCCAGTGGTCTACTTTCACCAAGTCTAATTTAAATGTACGTTGTACTGAATGGAGTCTCATGTAAATGGTCCATTTTAGCCAGATTATGGAGCTGAAGTGGAGGCCCACACAATTATCCTGAGCATTCAGGACAGTCCAGAGAGCTAATTTGGACAATTGGACAAATGATTATTTTCTTTTGCCTCAATTGACCAGATAATTGTGCAAAAGTCTTTGCCATTTGACTCCGTGGAATGTCCCTTTGTGCAGGAAGGAGGCCTGGCCGGAGACGGGTAGGATGACCTGCAGGGTGGTATGGAGTCGGGGCGCACAGGGTACCCAGCTGATGCCCGCTGTCTAACTCCGAGTCCCAAGTCTGGCACACTCTCAGACGAGCCGGAAGGCTCTCTGCATGCCCACCCAGCATCCACATTAGTTCACCCCAATACCCACCACTGCCCTCAACTGCAAAACAAAACGAAACGTAAACATCCGGCAACAAGGTCAGAGGTGGCAGCTGGGTAGTCAAGGGAATCTGCAGAGAGAAAATTAGAGGAGTTGCTAAGGGCCAACACATGCACACAGAGATCTACAATCCAAAGCTCACATTTCTATGTACACACACTGCTAAGTTTCACTTGTAGCCATGATCAAATGAAGCAAGTTTGCCATCCCGAGTCCTAGGAGGCAACGGGAACTCACGGTAACTAATGGGTGAAGTAGTCCCCCTGCAGCCCTAACCTGTCCTCCCTGTACCTGACGATCAGACAGCCCTCCTGTGAAGACACTACCCAGACCTCTCCATCTGGTCCCCACAGGTTTTGACTAGAATAAGGGAGACTGATGACCAAAATTAAGCCCACATGTTAGAATAACACGCCATCCTACTAAATGTACCCACAAATTACGCCAGGCTAAGTGAGCCGTTTTGCTGTGGCAAGGAGAGACCAGGAAGAATTATAGGTTGCTCACATTCTGGGTGATGATCAGAGCTCTTAAAGGAGGTGCACTAAATTCAGCAGGGCAAATCTCTATGCAGCCCGTCGTCCTCCATCAGTGCGGGCCTTCAAGAGGAACCACGCCGCGGCCCACGCTCCCGTGCCTCCAGGCCGGTCGCACCCGAGGGCCAGGACTGAGCCTACGTAGCGCTCTGCTCCACAGCAACGTGTCTGATTCTACCTGCACACACCTGCAGCGCCATTTCAAAAGGGAGCCACCAAATATCCAGTTGGAAACCTGACCCATAACTGACCACTCAGGAGGCACAGACCCCCTGCAGAGCCTACAGTCCCTTCACACGCGTTGCCACTTACACAGCTGTCCCATCCGGGGTGGTGGGTTTCTTCAAGGTTATCGCTGGTCAGAATGTTCTCGAAGCCTGCGGCAAACGTCTGTCCTTTGAGGGGTGGGTTTGATGCTTGGACAGCCAGTGGCTTTTGAACAAGCTGGGGAGACAGAATTTCTAGCCAGAAAACAAGGAGCAAGCACAAGGGAAGGTCGCTCCCTGTGTGGTTCATCAACAGGGTCCAAAGGTAAATAATCGCCCTGAGCAACAGGCGCATCACAGGACGAAATGCCTGGCTTGCCAAGGGGCTCCTGGGAAGGCCCGCTCCCATGTAGTAAGTAGACTCAAAGACAGACCCCATCATGCCTGGATGACGTGAAAGGTAACATTTGGGTGACAGGAACCCACCCCGGCCTTTGAGGAGGAGACCGGACACGGGCATTCAAGGTGTAAATACGGTCCCGGCTCTGAGTTCAGCTGGCAAAGACTATTCCCAAAGTATTCAGTGTAATAGAACAAGAAACATCCAAAGTCACTTAGAAATGCAAGTCTCCCGGAGCCTGGCTGTAAGTAGGACTTCTCAGCAAGGCACACAGACTAAATTTTATTTGAAGATCTCCAAATGCTTCTGGGTATGTATATGAAGCATACATTTTCATAAGAAAAATAATTGTCTGCCTTTTCGGCAGTTTCCCTTTTGTATATTGGATAGCAGACAGATTGGTCCCTCTGCGAGCATCCATTAGGCAGATGGATGGACTTTCAGACACTGAGGCAAGGCCTCAGACACAAAACAAATAGTCATTGGCCCAAACGATCACAGAATGGACCAGGCCCTCCCGTAACGCAGATGCATTTGAAGAAAACGCGAGCCCCATCGTTAAAATTAATACTAGGATTGCAGGATGTTCTTTAATCCGCATGATTGCTTTATTGTACAAAAAGTTTCCAGTAACAGTAAATTAGCTTTAAAAAAGGACAAAAAAAAGTCATTTTGGATAGAAGCGCTTCACTAATTGCTTTATTTAAGCACACAAGAAAAAAAGTCTTATCTGACCAATTAGGTTGGAAGGGTTTTATTACCTTTAAGAAGCCATTAGCTAGGATAAAACACTGAAAGCACTTGTGTCAAAACAAATAAATAATGCTCTCTCAATTAGCAGAGAAAGCGGTAAATCCGTTAAATTAGAGTCATACACTGCTTCACGCCCATGGCGAAGCCAGCACCCCCCACCCCCAAATTAATACAACAAGAGACAGTAGATTTCAGTTACAATCTCGGGAAAGATCAGGAGCTTTGGAGACCTGACGGTAAACACGGACTTCTCTGCTCTCCAGTCGCATCCAAGGAGCCAGCCGAGGACACGTTGAAGGGGGCGGGTGTCCAGTGGCTGAGCCCAGGGGTGCCCAGAAGCAGCTTTCCCTGCCGGCCCTCTTCTCTGCTCGCATCCCAGGTGAGGGGAGAGACTGGGCTGGCGAGCACTGCCCCCAGAGCCCGACAGAGAGGGACAGCAATGGCTGTCCACAGGAAAAGGAGCCCGTCTCCTTCCCAGGGGAAGAATGACCCTGAGGTACCAGTACTCCATTACCACCTTTCTCTTACTTCCCCCAAGGCTGCTGATCTTTCCCTGATAAGGGCTCAAAAAAAAATACAGTGTTTGCAGGAGCCGGGCAAGTCGGCGCCCAGGCTCTGGGGCCCCTTCCCGCTGTGGGACGAGGTCACGGCAGCAGACGGCTGGGGCTTCCACTGGCACCGCGCCGGCTTCAGACCGCTCGAGAGCCTTCACGTCTATTTAGATCTACTATTTTACCCAAATGGGGTTAGGGGGTGGGGAGCAAAAACCAACCCCAATCACCCCTATTAACTGAAAATAAATATAAATAAATGGTGATACTTTTTTTTTTTTTGGTGATCCTTTCTTAAAGGGTCACTTTCCTTCAAGGGTAAGACTGAGCACTTTAAAAGCTTCACCAGGGATCCAGTACTGCCACTGTAGACCGTTAGGGAGGGAAGAGCTCGGACCTGCACAGCCCAGCTCCTCGGAGCAGTTGGTCTCGGGGAACACCTCGACTCTGCCACTGGATTCAAATCTGCTGTGAGTAGAGAAGGCCTAGAGCTATTCGCAAGATCTGTAGAAGCCCCACATTTCAGGGGTGATCGAGGTGGTGGATTCGGATTGGCTGACCTTTTTTCCTAATAAATAATTGTTTGTCAGGGAATACCATGCAATTTCCTGAAATGCCAGGGGCACGTCTAGATCATTCTATTAGCCACATCCGTAATAAGAAAACCAGTGGCCGCCTGGAGTCACAAACGACTGGGGAAGGGAAGGCTGGGGCGTGGGTTCTAAGACCATGATCTGTTTGGACTACCTGAACCTCTGGACTTGAGTTTAAGTTTCTGGAAACAACTTTAAAGTCAATTCTAAAGAGACATTTTATGCGACTGATCCAAATAAAACAGCACATTTAATGAAGTCATGCTCTTCTCAAAACTTTTTAGGAGAGATAAAAAACAATGGAAAAGCCATCGAAAATTATACAAAGACCATTAAAAAGATACCGGTGTCTCAAGACCCAATAAAACATGAATTTCAGCTTTCAAAGTTACCATCACTTTCCACATTATTCTACAGTTCCAGGAATATATTCGAGCACCATATTGATAATAGGTAAGTAAACGGCAAAGTCCTGCTTTGGCGATCTGATTCATGCTCACAGAAATGAGGGATTTCCTAATCCAGATTTTCACAATCTGCGGGAACATGCCTACTTTCTGGACATGTTAAGCAGCAGTGGAAGAGCCGATAAATCATACCACTGGTGGAATATTTTACTTTGAAATGGAGTGATGTTTGGTTAATAATTTGAGATCCACTAATCCTAAATGGGGTGACCCATTTAGAATGGCCTGTGTGTAAATTCACAGTTCATTAAATGGTGTCTGGTTTGAACAGGCCATTATGTGGTTAGTACGTAGTAATGGACTGAGCAAGGGCAGCTGGGGACGAGTGCAGGGACACACTGGCTGCTTCTGGTGACTTCCATGACACTGCCCATCTTCCATTTGCGTGTTTCCATGTGAGGTCGGTTCAAATCACCAACTTTTAAGTTTAGGTGGTTTTGTTAGTAACCCCTTTTGGTTTACAGTAGAAAATGCAGGGCACAGATTCTAGATGAGGAATAGTCCATTTACAATTAATTTAAACTTATGAAGCTGTTTTAACTGGCCCATCTAAATGTGTTAATTAACATCAATGATGGTTTCTTATTTTTCACACTTTGTTACTCTGATCATTAACAGTGACGGAAAAGCTAAATTAAGTTAATGGGGGAACGGATTATAAATTCTTAAAGGACTTCTCAGTTTGTTTTCAACTGGAAAATATACAGAGAAAGATGAAGAGGCATTTTTGCCTCTACTCATAAATTTTTGGTACCAAATTTCTTAAAAACCAGATGGTTTTTAAAAACTTTTTCCAAAAAGTATTTTAACACACCGCTCCGACATGAAGCTAAAAAAACAGCATATGCATGTACAGTATCGACCAGCTTGTGGGGTGCCTGTAAACATTCAACTCATTTTCTCTTTCTAAAAAAAATAGACATTATAACTGATGACACAGCTCAATCTCCATTCTGCAGTGGTATCAAAGGTCCTTAAATTCTTGACAATGAAGGAAAACCAGAAGCCCATTCCCTCTGCTTGAGCATGACTGCGACGAGGAGTCCAGGCCAGCGCTCGCTGCCCCCACGCGGTCCTCGGTCCACAGCCTGCGCCTCTGCTGGGCCCGCACGGCGGCCGAGCCCCTGGCGCCCAGGAGTCCACGCGGGCGGCACATGCAGCCCCACAGACGCCTAGCGAGACTTCACGCCGATGAGGACAACAATGAGGACAATGATGATGACAAATAATATTAAAATCACAAGCATCTTCCGATTCTTCTTTTGATACTGCTCTGCCTACAGAAAGAGGGGAAAAAGGCCGTCATTTTCCCAAAAATCCAAAATCAAGCCTCGCCTGTTTCCAGTCCTGGGCTTGCAGTTCTATGTGCATGACTGGTCTCTCTGCTACAGGCCACATCACATCATTATAATCCCTTCCACCAATTCAAGCAAATTTAATCATCGCACGTGGACGACCTCCATGATGCTGGAGCTACCTCGTTACCTAGTTACCCTGGACGCACAGAGGCGCAGGGCCGGGACCCACCACTGAGACTAAGGCTGGTAGGAGGAGTCCAAGACTCTGCCTCAGCACCAGGTGGACTTGCTTCTCCTCCTCCTTCCACTGACTGTGATGAACCGCTCTTTCAAGGAGAGCCTCTCGTTTCTGGACACAGTTGTTCGGATGAACGCATACCTCCTTCACGATGACCTCAAACAACGGGCTAAGGTTACCCCCGCCAGAGTGTAGGGAACTGACGGCGCCCCGGAATGGTATTTTCTGCCTGCCCTGATGCTGGGAACAAGAACACACTCCTCCTCTGACAGAGGAATGGGAAAGCGTGCCCCACAGGTCTCAAGTGCAGAAAGAACCTCCCTGAGATCATCTCTCGCTGTGCTTCTGCTGCCACGACAGACAGGAGCTTTCAGAGCTCAGCACCCACTGCACTCCTCACCTGCAAACATCAGCCTGGAGGCCCCGGCGGGGCTGGGGGAGGGGGGCACGCCCTCAGTCACACCTCTGCTGTGCACAGATGCAAAATGCCCCACCTGGGCTCCCGGAGACTGACCAGAGACAGGAGAGTGGACAAGGAGGGAGTCTTGAGGGTGTCGCTCACCACGTCCAGGGACAGTGCGCCCCGTCCTTCCCCAGGTGGTGCTTTCACAGGGAAGGACATGAAGGACACAGCTTGATGGGAACGTCTAAGAACATCCGATCTCTTCCATTTTACTTCCGTGGTCCCCACCAACCTTCTGACTGGTAGTTTTGTTTCCGAAGTGAGCCTACACACCCACTGGGAGCCACTCATCAACCAGGAGGAAACATCAGGACAGACAGGCTAACCCGTCTTGAGAGTCCGGCCCGTGTGAAGCCCCTCCCAAGGCTCAGTCTTCCTCGGATGAGGTGACTGCCAAGGAAATGGCCAGCCACGCCACTGACAGCAATGTGACTTGAGAGATAAGAAGAAGCATGCTTACTTTTCTAATAAGGAACCCAGAACACCAGGGAAGCCAACACTAAATGATATACTTTAAAGCCTCTCAAGATGATTTATAAAGTAGAACCTAAAACAAAATTTCTAGTTCCCACTAGATTTGTACACTCCCGCAGAGAAAGCTCTGCCCTTTATCTGTGCTTTATTGCAAAACATGTTTCACTAGTTTTTATTTAAGAAACTTCAAAACCAATGCATAATTCAACAGCATATCAGAAACTGAGTATTATAGAGTGGGAAACTCAAGTTAGTTATCACTCTTCTCATACACAAGGTTTGGCAGCAAAATGAATCTAAATGCTCAAGAAGCCCTCTGCCTACCCGAGGCAGGCCTTTTCCTTCCACCATGTGTTGGGAGTCTCATCCATGCCCTGCTACGGCAGCGAGCACACAGAAGGGAGAGGGAAGGGTTTCTGGTCAGACCTCGGTAGGTCTCCCTTTCTGTAAACCTGACATCATTGTCAGACGGGGCCGCCCCTGCCACAGAGAGCAACTGGCTTCGGAAAAGCGACAGAGCAGTCCATTCATGGACTGTAAAAAAAAAAAAACAACACTCATTATGTGGTTACAAATATCACAGGGTCTCAAAGCTACAAGGAAATGGATAGAATTTATTTTATTTGCAAAGTATTAGCATTCCTTTTAAAGAAAACATGCACCCAATTATATGTGAGATCCACTCGGCAGCATATGTATGTGTCTCATCACTGATGACAAGATTTCTAAGATGCTTCCCGGTTATTTTTAACAAGTATCACGAAAGATATTCCGGAAATAGCTACCTTATTAGCGAAGAGTGAGGGAGCTACTCTCACTTCAACAAACTATTCTTTTCTCAAGGTAGCACACAGATATACTGCGGTAATTAAAAGGGAAAATGAGATTTTTATCTGCTCCAAAATGATCCTCCACCAGCAATTCATCAGAAATGTGTCACAGCAAGAGAGACCTGAGTCGGCGCAACAACAAGTAGACAGAATGTTCAACACACATCTAGCAAACACCCATTCCCTTGATTTCCCAAAACAAGAAGATTCAAAGACTGAAAATAATTTATGGAAGGAAGAAATGCCCAATTCCTTTATAATTTCCTGTCACAGAAGGGACTTCTCAGCAATTTCAGATCCAAGTGCCAAGCGCCCCTGGCATCACTTCCTGCAGCAGGATGACAAGGCCCCCGTGGCTGACGCCGGCTACACTGACACGGGACGCTCCCGCACACCTGGCCACCGAGAGCCCCTCCTCTGAGTCCTGGGCGTCTGATGGCAGCTCCTCAAACTCTCAGCCGCGGAAACACACGACATTACCTTGTGAAGCTGTTTCAGGCCATCTTCGGTCTTGATACAGGACTGCTCAACATTATAGTCAATTCTATCAAGGACTGTACCCTGAGTAAGAAACGACAGTTACAGATGACCAACAACCGCAACTGGGAACATGGAACTGCAGACATCATTATCCACAGGATTATCTGTTTTACTTAACTGCTGCTGGAAAGGTACACACGGAAAGCTCTGGAATCCATCATCAAGCAATATTAGGCACTCAATGGCAGAGTGCTGTGTTAGTTACAATAAAGTCTAACTCATGAGAAATAAATACTGACAAATGGAGGTTTCTTTTTTGGATCTAGCCACTCTAAGATATGCCATACTCAGACTTACTGGGGTTTTAAGCAATATACGGTTCAGTGGAAATAGGCTCTGAGAGGCGGAGGGCTGACTTCTGTGCCCATGTGCTGCTTAAATACTTGGATTCAAGTAAGCAGAGAATGCTGGTTAAGCTAGACCCAGTTATGATTCGGCCTGGAAATTGACTATCACGTCTGTAAACGTCAACACGGGTTTCCATGGGTCAGAGCAGAGACGGTGAGCTCCAATCCACCATGTAAAATTACACGTTTGCCTCAAGGAGAATTTTGTTTTTAATTGTTTAATCTGTCGGTTCAAACAGAAAGAAGGGAACACCAGGCTATGTGGAGGAACAGGGCTCTTAATGGAACATGCTGTATCAGAGGAGATAGCAAGAGCAGTTCCTTGGGAACCGCAGGAGTAATTACTGTAACTAGATCTTCCATGGCCTCAACACTCCATTGTGCAGCTGGTTGCAGGGGGATCAGGACCCAAATCCCTGCTGGCAAGATAATAAAATACCCTAATCAGATTGTAACAGTGAACAAACAATTTAATTCTACTTGAAAGCTAGTGGTTCCAGTTGCCCTTACACAATAACCTGCCAAAATTAGAAGGGAAACCTTATCTACTGCCAGAATCATTGCTGAGTGGGGGCAGAACCCACCAGACCCCCAAAGTAGGGTGGTCCCACGAGCGTCCTTGGAGTATGGGCAGGGAATATGAGACCTTCTACTGATATTTATTTTTTACTTAAAAAAATAAAAGGTTATCAGTAATTTTATAGGGAATGACATTAGTATGCGCATACGACTTGCACACACACGTCTATGTGTACAAGCACACACACACACGCCTGCACACGTGTACAAGCACACACACACGTCTACGCACGTGTACAAGCACACACACATCTATGCACGTGCACAAGCCACACACACACACACACACACGTACGTGGGGGGTAGGGTCAAATTTGGTTTCCTGACACAGATGCCGAGTCAAAAGTCTCCAGAAGGACCAGATGTCACGGCAGGAAACTCAATGATGAGGAAGGTAAACCCCGTACCTGCTCCACAATCATCGCTCCTAAATCCCTAAATATTTCATTCAGGTCTGAAATGGACTGCACGATCTGGCGAATCTCCCGCTCCCTCTCCTCCACCATCAGTGTGTTCTGCTCCACCAGCACCAACTGGTCATCTGTAAAACCCTAGCAAAACAGAAAGTACAGGATGTGTAGGTTAGATTCTCTTCTCCCCCCACCAGAAAGGTATGATGTGCCGCTGCAGATATCATTTAAAGAATGAATTGTGAAAATACTTCTATAAAGCACATAAACACAACACATAAGCACTTATTTTTCCCTCACAGGAAAGATCCAAATTCCTAAAACAAGCAGGATCTAAAGCACTAGGAGCCAAAGCAGGGGACACAAAGAGAACCCCCGTCTGCAGCTACACAGGGCTGAGCAGCAAAACCACCAGAAATAACCCTGCGCTTCTCTGGGTTCTTCCCAACGTGCGGCGTGCAGACTGCTTTCCCGAAGGTTCCGGAAGGCAGATGACAAGGCCTCCTTGCAGCCTACAGAAAGGAAGAAACAGTATGGCCCCCATGACTGTTCTTCCACCTGCTGCAAAAACTACTTGATGGATGTACAAGTCAAGCAGCGCTGACCCATTGGCATTGCACAGAAGTTACAGGTCTATGAAGAGAAGGAACAGAATGGAGCGCAAATGCACAGCAGTCAATCTTGCAGCCCCTTCACGTACCCGATCATAAAGAGTATTATCGTCTCCATCATCCATTAGTGGTACTGATGTATCAAAAAAATGCTGGGATCTTTCCTCTCGATTCTTCATGCCTATCATAGATAGGAATTCACTTTACTCGAATATGTAAACCATCCTGGTTACTGTTCCACCATTAGAAAGGGGAAATCTAGAGTAAAACTCAACAGTCAAAATGGAGATACTCTTAGCTTTAAAAGAAGCCTATCTCCAACAGAGGTGGGGGGAGAGTAAAGGGTTATAAACAGGTAACAATATGCAAGCACTGGGGGTTATTCAAGATAAAAATCATGCTATAAATGTGTACAATTCACTTGATGCCAAGTGAGTGACAAAATGACACTTAAAACCATCTGAGAATCTCTAAGTGAGGCAGAAATATTTAATCTAACTGCTGTTATAAAACATTTTTTTTAAAAATCAATATTTCTCTCTAGAAGCATCTCCAGTAACAATTCCAAATGGCCCTAATCAAATTTTAGAAGTAATGAAATTAAAATATAAATATGCCAGTTGTCAGAGGGAGGGGGAACTACTTTTTTTTTTTGAGTATGTGGGGATATTATTGATTACAATGGCAATAAAGGAAAACCCAGCTTATGAGGTAATTCGAAAGCGGATGTGGCCAAAACCGGACTTCCCATTGTCTGGAAGAAAAGGTAGGCTGAGTGGGTCACTAGGGCCAAGCAGCAAGCAGCCAGTGGTTCAACTACTCCCAGAAAAGGTTTTCAGGCACTCAAATACTTCAGTTGTTAGGCAAATATAAAGCTTTCCTGTGTTACAACTTATTTTGCCTATCTGTTAGCAGCTTCCCCCAACCCAACATCTGGAAAGCCACAGGTTTTATAAATGTGCTTTAAGCTGGGCACAGAGTAAGTTGTGCTTTGTTGCCTGTGAACTATTCCCACAGCCCGTTCTTGGCCTCAGTCTGGGCAGCATTTCACGTGGGGGCGGGGCTTCCATTTGCTCTAGAAGGTGTGCGAATGTGCCCAAGGGGTAAGGATGGAGGGGAGAGGAGGAAATGGAGATCTAGCAGCAAAAAAGAAGGATGGAAACAAAAAGTGGTCCGTGGTCCTCTCAAAATCCTTCAAATCAGCCCGGTTGACACTCACGTTTGAGGTAGCCTGACTGTGCGCGCCGGAAGCTGGTGGACAGCTCCTGCAGAGCCTGGGCCAGGGAGGCCACCACGTTGCGAAGGAGCCGCTCCTCCTGCTCGGAGCAGGCCCTGCGGGCCCGGCTGGGCAGAGCCTGCACCGCTCGCTGGCACCTGTGGAAGAGCTGGGAGAACAAGCCCACGGCTCACAGCAGGCCGAGAGGGAGCCCCGAGTGCCAGCCCTCCACACGCACGGGGCCCAGAGACATCAACTGCTCTGTGCACACAGTCGGGCATTGGGCAAGGGGACCAGATCCAAGTCATCAGAGGCCTCCTTTACACCTGCAGAAAGGCTGAACCAGATGTGAACAGATGCGGGGCGTAGGGCACACGTTCTTAGGCTCGGTCACCACGTGTTGCTCTGTTGTGATCATCTCATTTAATCCCTGTCACCACCTTGGGGCGGGTACTAGCATTACTGTTCCCATTTTATAGATGACAACACCAGAGTCTGAGGGATTCGAAGAGAACCACGGTGTTGTTACCCTGCTAAGATCCAGGATTCGAACATTCCAACACCCAGGGCTTTCCCACAGCACCTGGCCCCTCCACTGGTGATCAGATCCAGGAGACATACACACAAAAAAAATGTAAAACACTAAAGTTCACACACTAGTCATATTATTTAAAAATTCCTCAAATTGAACATTTTACAAGGAATTTTTCCAGGATACTAAGTTCCTCGAGGATACTAATATACTCAAGTCTAGGGCAACAGCTCCCAATCTTTTCCAATTATGAGGACCATTTTTTAACATGAATAGTATGAATAATTTGTAAGCACTAGTATACAATAAAAGTTACACATTTTAAAATCAGTCCATGGTGGTATCTACCAGCAACAGAGAAAACAGTCCCCATTCACTAAGACACATGCTGCTTCTTGGGGGAGCTCAGGGCCTCACGTCCCTTTGTGAACTTGGGGTTGGGAAGTGCGATCTGATTTAGAATCTGTAGCACGTTATAGCTTTCGAGAGGGTCATGAGAAGGCTGGGAAATGCCCGTGCCCACCTGGGGACCCATTTCCATCCTCACCTGAGTGATCTCTTGGGTGGTTATTTCAATGGCATGCTCTTGCTCACTGCTGTCATCCAGGGTGGGTCTGTTTAAATGCTGGTCATGAAGGCTGGCTAATTCCTTCATCTTCTGTTTAATCCGGCCAACATCATACTGTATCTAAACAAATGACATCACCAGGACTCCACTGATGCCTGCCAGGCATCTGTCTGCCTCCTAGACAATTAGCTACACTCGAGTACAGAGTTCAGGCTTCAGCCAACTTGTAGGCTCACTGATGCGTGAGCAACTTTTAATCCAAATACCACTCCTCGTTATACAGCATTTCAACTTCTCTCTATAACCCAGGTAGTTGCTCCTAACGCCAAGATCACTAACACACACACCCTTTCTTGTGGTGTGTGAACTGAATAAACCTAAAGCGAAGCAAAAGATTTCCAGGGACATGCATCCAAGTGTAGCCAAATCAGTTTTTATGGCAGATATCTTAACAAATGTCGGCATCATAATTACTTAAAGAAATAAGAAGTATGAAACTAACATTCAACTTACTTCATCCACTCCATCCACCCATTTAGGAGGTGACCGTTTTGTGACACCGATTGCTGCTTCTGGATCTAAGCTAATGCCTGACACCAGAGCCATACGGTCATCAGCAAGCTACAGGGAAATAAAGGGACATTAAAAAAAATTACTCAGATTCCACTTTGACAAGCATTTTCTTACACCCTCTTAAATGTCGCTCCCTAAGAAGGCAAAAAAAAAAATGTAGGAGTAAGTGCACTTGCCTGATCATAAGCTTGCTCTGATACTGCTAGGATTTGGGACTGTTTTCCTATCTTTTCATGCACCAGTTCTTAATTTTCTTGCACATACTTGGGAACATGAATTTGACTTGATCTGGCTACAGAAATGTAATAAAGAAAATCAACAAAAGATCCTTAACAGAAAGACCTTTTAGTACTAGTACTACGTATGACAAGATGGCATGAACCTTAAAGTTAATGCGATCAGATACAAGTTTAAAAAAAATACTAGGCTACAAATGGAACTCACACAAAATGTTCAAGAGGAGCAAGGTTCACTTACACACATTTAGCTTATTTTGGAAATGCGGCTGATCCAGTTATCTTGGTCACAAGATCATTAACCGTGTGTTAAAATGTGTGAAAGAACTGCCTAAAACGATTAGCAAATTACCCACCATTTGGCAAAAGCAATCCTGAAAAACTCAATGCAATCCTGACTGCTGCTTCCTTTCTTCAGCTCAATGTCCACAGGCAACGTTTTCACTTATTTTGAAATGATACGGAGAGCTCCCGCTGATTTTCCCTGTTAAGACACTGCCTCAGAAAGCCTTGAAGTTGGGGAGGGCGATCATAGGTCTGGCCTGGTTAAGCTGTTCTCTTGCCTGGAGGCAGTGAACAGGTTTAAAGAATCTTGAGGTATCCTCCGGAGCTCAGAATTTATAATTGCCAGTTTCCAAAGATCCAAATGATGATCAAAAAATAATGCAAAACAGTATATAAAAGTCTTGTACAGGTAATACTTTGTAAATCTTCTAAATCATACAGCAGAATTGGGTGAAGAATTTATATTGCTTTTCTTCCCCCTTCCTTGCATTTATCTAAATTTATTTTTTCATTCATTCAGCAAATACTTGTTTGCTTTTCTAATAAAGGAACAAGGCAAAATTTAAAAATCCACAGATAAAGGGAAAAAAACAGAACATAAGGAAAAACCTACATTAAAAAAATTCTTCAAGTAATAAGCCCTAAATCCTGAACAGTTTATAGCAAAATTCCCACAGGCAAACTGGAGTCTTGCATCTGCTCCCTGCCCCCCTGCCCCCTGCCACCCCCCTTGCCCAGTTTTGCCCCCACGGGCTTAGGGCATTCTGTGTGTTCACGGATCACACCGCGTGCAATGACCACACTGAAGAGACCAGAATCCTCATAACTGCTCCCAGAGCGTCTGTGAGTCGTGATTAAGTCACCAGCATTCTGCCGCCACGTGGACCCTACAGGACCACGGTGTCATCTCAGGTCGTAAACAAATGGTGTGTCATCCAACCTGCATGATCTGGGGCTCTGAGTCCATGAAGCAGTAATCCTCAACCATAGCCACGCTGTTTGTTTTTAAGAGTTCCCTAATAGGGATCTTACATTCTTTTTATTGTTTTAGTCCTCACAGAAATTAGATGAGCTAGGAACTATTATTCCAATCTATAAATGAGGAAATTGAAACTCAGAAAAGTTAAGTAGCTTGCCCAAGGTCACAAAGCTATGATGGGACAGATTAAAACCGGGTCGGCTGACTCCAGAAGCCCCATCTAATCCATAAGCTGCCCATCACTTTGGCAGGCCCGTGAAATATAACTGCAATTTGCTAAGAAAACAAATCAGGACAACAAGCCTTCAGATTGAACCACCACCAGGAAACAGAGTCCTCAGCCCCAGACCCCACCAGCAGGACCTGGGACCACAGGTCAGGCTCCCAGGGAGCGCACATGCATCAACAGAAAGTGGCCTCCCTCACTGACCCTCCGCGGGTGCAGCCACGAGGGTCAGACCTCACCCTAGACAGAGCGGGAACAGACAGCGAGAAGCAGAGCTGCTTATTCCTCAAACTCCTGCTCCAAAGTCACCAAAAGGCACGCAACCTTGTGCAGAGCACAGTGACCAAGGGACCAACCACACACACAGCAGGTGCTGGACACAGAACTGTGCGCCCACTGGAGCAGAACTTGAACCTAAACCTCCAGCTCTTTATACAAAGCAAAACCCAAAATTGCTAAGGTGCCTCTTCATGAGCCACACTACTTCCACAATACCAGCTTATTATCCAATCCACCATATTTTATTATTGTCTCACTTTCAATAGAGTAATAATTTGTTTTATTTATGGCTTTTAAACTCATGCTTTTACTTTGTACTGTTTTTACAAATATATTAAACTAAAAAAGATACAGAGATGGTAGTTATCTAAATTTATCTGGATAGTAATTAGTATCACTTTATCTGAAACAAGTGAGAAATTGTCCAATGAGAAAAGTCAGCTGAAGTGGATTCACCTCTTTTAAGAGAGTTTGTTCCCCCGCAAAATGCATGTAAATTAGGACTGGGGTAAATACAGTCTGTTTAAATGTTCTAAGGAAGCCTGCTAATGAAGAGACCCCTACCCGAAGAGGACAGATGCCAGCACACCAAGCTGGCCCTAGCATCCCCTACACTGCATCAGGGTTTTGCCAACTTGAAATGTGGGAAAATTTGTCCCCTTTATAACACGGAATATAGGCATAGCTCATCATGAAAAAGAAATCCAGCAGTGCTCAGATGAAATGGGTCATTTATTTTATCAGTACGATTTTAAAATTTAAAAAACCATGTTCTTTTGAGAAGAGTAAACATAATTGAAGAGAAGTGTCAATTATTTGAAAGAGGAACAAATATGAACATTAAAAAATGTATTTTAAATGCAAAACAATCACCCTTCAGTTTCAGAAACCTCACTTCACATTTGAAAATATGTTTTCTTATTTTTTTAAGACCCAGGACGTATCAGTTTTCAAGCTGCCATTCTAGCTAATACAGGCTTTAAAAAATTGCCAGATTTTTAATTCTCTTTACTCATCCTTGCTGAATTTCAACTTAGTCCCCTCTCTGAATATAGGATACCGGTCTTTAAAGCTTTTCTTAAATGAACTTGTGTTTCTGAAGTAAAATATCTTCCCCTATTTTTTAAATTAAAAAAAATTTTTAGTAAAAATTGTACTTATGAGAATTAAGAATTTCAGAATTCTTGTCTCTGATTTGTGGCTCTGTCCTCCTAGAACTGTGGGGGTGTGCGACCCTAACCTAGGGTTGCCAACACGGGAAAATTCCAACAGAAGTTCAAAATAGCACACCCAAAAGGCTTCTTACTGGTCTCACTAAAGTTACCTTTCACCCTTAATCCGCTTTAGATGTTGCTGTTCGTCCCTTTAAAGAGTCCCAGACAGTATGGACAAGTTCTTGATCTATGGAAGGAACGTGCATACACACATACTCTTATAAATCTGGCTGCTCCAAATACAGAGCCTCTCTCCTCTTAGAAAACCCCGCCTTTACAAAAAGGCTGATTTAGTGTGCCATGAGATTAAGGACACGGCAAAGCCTCTGTTGAGATTAGCGGAGTCAGACACATTCCCCTCCCAGCCCCCGGACCCCACATCTACAAAAACAAATAAACTAAGTTCAGTCATAATGCATTGGTAACAAGAAACAATACTGGCAATTCTGGGTTGTTTGTGGCAATGAACATTTAGAAAGTCTAGAAGGGACGCTGAAAATTACAGCCTGGCCACTCTCGCTTCCAGGTGAGACGATCTAGGAGCGCGTATGATGAAGTCAGGCCACAGGCGTAACTTGGGGGGCTCAGACGGCTCGAGGACTTTGCTGATAGACGATTAGACTTAAGAAATCTCAAACTTTTGAGGGAGTGAATAAGCACATGGATAAAAGAGAATCAAGGGATGTCAGCACTACCGTGTGCTTTTAAAAATCTGTGGTAGTTTTAAAATAGTGATTACTTTTTCTGGTTATGAAACAATAAATGTTCAAAATAGACACTTTTTTAAATGTACAAAAAATATAGAAATAAAAACTCAGAGAATCATACCATCCAGATATAAATGCTGCTAGTTTCACCGATTTTCCTTTCTTCTCCTTAAAAAAAAATCACTAGGGAGCAATGATGGCCCGCGTTGTCGGTGCTGCCCTTCCACTGAATTGATCTCTGTACCCCAACAAGTCTTTGGAGGGGACTGCCCCCCTTGTACAAATATGGATGCTGAGCCTCTCCCTCCTCCCCCCACCACTGGCTCCCCCATGATAGAGACTTTCTCAGCGGGTGACCAGTGGGCCCAGCCTGTGGCCCCCGTGTCCCCACTGTATCACCCTGCCCTGCCCAGGCTATGTGGTTTGAGAACTTGACATTTACTTCTTGTAATTTTTTATTATGTCCTATTATGAATTTTAAAACCCAACAGCTTGGGAGATGACTTTGTTATTGGAGGGGAAGTAGATTGGAGCAGGGAGCAAAGGAGAGGGCCAGATACTTCTCTGGGTAAGAGAGTAAATGGTGGGTGGGCTTCCTCCTTAGGGACACCTTACTTGGTACTTCTGGAGAAGGAAGAAGAGCAGTATCCCCAGGGTGCAGATTTTCAAACTGATTTAAGCAGGAGAATGATGATCTAAAGTGGATCCACTGCAGGATGCCACCAGATGAGATGGCTTTACTCTGGGAGACCCAAGGGATGCAGTCAGGAAAGTCTGCTCAGGCCTCAACTACAAAGGGGTGGGCTTCCATCTACCTTATGCCCAGAACTGGGAGATCACTCTATCCCCAGAAGGCACTGATTCTAAGCCCCACTGCAGCTCTGGTGAAGCAAGGCTCTGGACACCATTCCCAAACATCCCCAGCTCCTAACTCAGCACCTGGGGACTTAATAGTAATAAATATACAATTATAATTAGCTGAGTCAACAAATAAATGGAATAAAGTAAATAAAATACAATTCTGGAAGCTACACTTCATAAAAGATATAATGGTTCTGGACAAAGGACATGAAGGACCAAGTGAAGTGCTCAAGAGGACGAGGTGGCCATGTGTACCCAGAA